AAAGGACTCTGGTATGCTAATATTGTACATTAATATATTGAAATAAAAAAAATACTTAAAGGCAGTTGTATCAAATCCAATAAATGAAACACCTGTAGGTCAGTAATGAAATATGGTTCTATTTGTGACTGGTAAGAACTGTGGATCAGACTTCGTTTTCTATCTGCAGTTGTAGAAGTGCTAGAAGAATTTAAAATGTCTAGATGGACTTCTGAGATTTCCCTTTATTGAGGGCTCCATTTCAATATTCATTTGAGTGGAAGAAGTTTAATAATACAGACCTGCACTGGCAAGGATGATTTCTCCAGAAACACTGCAGGCTCCTGAAACAACTCTAGCAGTGTCTGTGGCTGTAAAAATGTGAGCTGGCACTAAGGCAATGTCTGTCTCATGCAGCTACTTGATGCTGATTTGAAGCTTCATAAAAACATTCTGACTTGACTTTCCTCTACTGCTTATTTCATACCTGATGAGTCTTTGGATCATCCCATTCAAACTTAAGACTTGTCTTAGTATTTCCAAAATAAGTAATCTCTTGAGTTCAGAATTCAAGGCTACTGATAAGAAGAAATCACTGTGGATTAGAAGAAGCAGGCTAAAAATTGGATAGATAAACTAAGACAAAGATTTTATTAGACATTTTTAAGGATTCTTATCTTTTAACCAAACAAGCATTTCTAGCAGTCAAAAGCTGAAAGATTCATTTTTAGCAAAGTCTTGCCTTTGCTTCTATTTAGCAGCAGCACTGTATAGCAAGAGCAAATCAAATTTATGTTTTGTTTTACTTCTGGTATACTATAAGTTGTTTGAATTGCAGCAAGCTCCATCTGAAGTAACAGAGAAGGGTTAATTCTAGACCACTGACCTTAGCTAAACAAAATGTAAAGCTCCAAGTTTTGATGAGAAAGCTCAGTAAGCTATGAGCTAACTCTCCTTTATTGAATTTATATTTGTAAGATTAACAGTGTGAGGAATGATAATCCAAACAAATGAAAGTTTCCTTATGTCAGTAAAAAAAGCCAAGGACTGTTTATTCCCTGTAGTTCTTCCAAAGCATGATAATGTTTGCAAGCTAGTCATGCTATTGGGATCATAGGCTTTGCTTAGCCAATACATCACTGCATGTTCATTTATTGCACGGCAATAAATGAACACAGTACCAACAATGTGGGTTTCCTAATGCAAAGGCCTTCAGACGTTCTGGAGGGCAAGAAATTCCTCTGCTTTGCATGAAGCAGACAGTACTTCCACTCAATTTGACTCTAAAGTTACTACATATTATCTTGCTCCTTCTGACATTAATAGTAAAATTCACTAGCTTCTCCAGGGGTTAAACAAGTCTATTACTTTCACTCTGTCGGGAATAGGAATGGTTTGTTTTGATTTAGAAATCTGATTTTCTCTTACATCGGGTGTGCTTAAAAGTCACAGCAAGTAGCTAAGCTTGTCATGATCAAGTATATATTTAAGCTGAAAGAACACCTTATCTAGGCTGTGCACAGAGACAGGATGCAAAAACTGTCTTTCATTAATAGCTCTGCACTTTTATAATTTCAGTAGTTAAGCTAAGTGCATGACTGAAACTGCATGGTATGTCAGCTTCAAGGAAACAGCTCTTTTTTTGTCCTAGTTTAGTTATCTCCAGCTCAGCTTACCCAAGTAACAGTAACATTTCATAAACCTATCAGCACTTCCCTAATAAATATTTTCTTCCAACACAGAAGCTGCTGAATCAAGCACCAGACGTTGGCTAGCTGATAGTGTTTGCTCTTATGCTCTACTAGACAGTAGAAAACAAAACAAAATTGGATTCTGGTATTGGATCTTCTGCACTTGTCCTCCATTTTTAAACAGATTGCAACACTTACAACAGGAGAAAAAAATTGTTCTGTGAGTAGGCTCCGGGTTTTGTTATTTTGGTGGTTAATAAAACACTCTCCAAATACAATGTATGTAAGAAAGAAAAGATAAATTGTCAAGCAGGAAACAAATACAAAGAAACACTTTTCTTTACTAATTTTTGGGGTCTCACTTCAGAACAAAGATTTACTTTCCCCTCCTGCAAGTTATTATCACCTTTCACAAAATGGGATGGTGAAGATATCAGGAGATTAAACAAAGTATCATCCAGATTCACCCATCTATAAAGTCTAGATCTTTTCCCCCCTCTGCTGCGGAGTTTATTTGCAACCTCATCCTTTGATGATGACACATAAGCAGGAGGTTGATTTCAGATTGTGTGTTGCTTTCTCCCAAACTTCATCATCTTTGATGTGGATATTTTAGCTATCTTTTTTTTTTCTTTTTTTTTTTTCTTTTTTTTTTTTTTTTTTTATCTACCTGAATCTGCAACAGCTCTTCAGGGAAGTGCGGGTAACAGTGTTGGGGAAGACATTTTTTGACTTATTCATGAACCCCTGCATCAAATAGATTTTCGATTCCAGCAGTGACTCATTTGAAGTAGTTACTGCTGGCAACAGTGGCTGAATAAACTGGTTATATATGTAACCCCCTACTTCTTGGATGATTTTTAGTGATGTGCTATAGATTACTCCTTTCCCCTGGCTTTGCTAGTTGACATCATCTCATCCTGGGTTCCTAATTCTTCTTTTCCTTCCCCTTCTTCCCCCTCCTTCTCTCTTTTAATTTTTTTTCCTTCTCTTTTCAGGGTCGCCTGCTGTAAAAGCACAGAGGAGGTCACCCATGACAACTGCAGATTGTATAAGCTTTAGTTTGTTATTTAAAGTTCAACTTTCATGATTAGTCAAATGAATCAAAAAGATAATTGAGAGAGAGATTATGTGACACAGACGTTAGTCACTATTGCTGATAGTTGGGTATATGGTTTTGTTATCACCTATACAAAACATGTTAATGTAAAACTCGTATTAACTGGTCATTTGTCTATAAGAAATTGTCTGGACTTAGCATGAATTTTCTCTTAGATTTTTCTTCCATGATTATTAACATCTTTCCATCTGTTTGTCATAGCTCTCTGTGGCTTGAAGAATGTGTAAGGAGAAGGCCACTCATTTTTTCAGACCTTGTTCCTTTCAGCTTAGTATGTTGCCATGTACTTCTTAGTCACTGAGTGGCAATGGTGTAACTCTCACCCCAAACCCTCCTATTCCGTTTAGCTTACCAGCATCTCTTAAGAGTTCTGTTCCTTTCTGCTTTGAAGGATAATGCATTATGCCCTGCTGTACTTTTGCTCACCTGACTTCTCTTGGTGTTAATGAGATTCTGGAGTAAGAAACTCTAAAATCTGTTTGAGATCACAAACTTCAGTCCCCTACATGATACAGGGATTCTATTTTGCAATTTCCTTTTTACACTTTTGCCTTTCAAGGTTTCAGGCTTTTTTTCAAATGCCATAATCACTAGTCTTGAGTTGTAGACTTTCACTGATGGCCAATTGCTTCTTTTTCTGCTGTAACTCTGTTACTGGCTCCTGAGGAAATAAATTCCATAGGCATCCTACTCTGTGTTTTGCGACTGGAGCACAATTACTGTTACACAGTAATTTTTCCCAATGTCAAGCTTGTAGCCCCACACAAGTTCTGAAGGTTAGTGGTACTCTCAGCTCAAGGTACTTGTAAGTGAAAGTAAAGCTTCTAGATATTACTGACTGCTTTTTATAGGGAACGTTGTGGCAACAATGCAGAATATACCCCAGAGCTGCCTTAAGAAACCTTAGTAGGGAAATCAAGTCTATTTTAATACTATTATCTTTTCAGGGTCCATACTTTTGCTCTTTGCTATTGACAGAGTGGGGCTATACTTACTTCAGTTACTAAAAGGGGACTTAAATAGTGTTGTGTCCAAGTGCATGTCATCATGCATGTGTGCTCCCAGCCTAGTGTGGGGAGTCTAGTTTTTTTCCTGTTATAACTAAGGAATCCGGGCCACTGAGAAACACCCATAGCACGAAGTCCAACATAGTCCTTGTTCTTCATAAACAGTTGCAGGAACTTTTTCTGGGCACCTTAATGCTTGGAGCTCATAGAAGAATTAGAAGACCTATGTTAACCCCTGTAAACTAATATTCCCAGAGAAGCCTATAGGAGTGCCATAGCCACTGTGTAGTCCCTAAATTTCATACCTGTCCCTGAAACTGGTCTGGATGTTTTCTTGTAGAATAGATTTCAGTCTTCCTAGGCTGGGAAAAGACCTGAACCTGAAGCTCACACCACCTGGAAGAATGCTCTACACATTAAATCACAGAAAGATTCCTTTCTGTACAATAGCTTACATAGTGTGCAGAGAAACACTATTTCATTTAGAAATTGCATATGTCAGAGAAATCAGTCTTGCTCCATTACAAAGCTACCCAAAGGAGACGACTGAGTAGTCTGGACAAACAGAGACATCCACTTTACAATCCTGAGGCTGGTGAGAATTAAGTAGGATATAAATACAGTAAGGAGATGGGATAGGAAGTTCAGAGCTTCCTGTTCAGTGGTTGGCTTATGATTATTCAGTTTACCTGGTGTTCAGCAACTCTAGATACTTTGGTCTATCTCTGAATTGGCATGCTGGCACCTATAAAGGCATTGACTAGATGGAAAGCCCTAAGTAGTTGTTTTGGGTCTCCCCTATTATGACAGTATAGCATTTAGTACAGGATTTTATATAAAGAAAATGTGCAGGGTGTTTTGGGTTTGTTTTGTTGGTTTTGTTGGTTTTTTTTTTTGTAATTCAGAAGCCATTCAACCACTAGAATGTGTACACCAGATACCTTTAAAACCTGGATGCAAATTTACACAGTATTCATGCTTAATTGAATCTCTTCCCACAAAAATACACTGATTTTTTGACACAATGTTCACAGCTACTCATATGCTAGAAAACTCAGAAAATCAGTTTGATTCTATCCCAAAGCACGTATTAAATGTCAAAAGAATATACTGCTGCTAAGGATCTGGTGGCTTGCCACAATGGAAATGACTCAGCTAGCTTGTTTAAAGAATGATATTTTAATTGCTTTGTAGATCACAAACCTGCCAGCCTTGTAATTTACACTGCTGAAGAACAAGACGACATCTCTCCTTGGCAGACAACTTCTTCTTTTCTCCTGCTGCCATATCAGCCAAATCTTTATACCTAGAAAAATCAGCAGAAGTATAGTTACTCTAATGTTGACCTGGCTGACATCTTTGCAGACAATGTCAGTTTTCCTCTGACTCTCAAATCTTTGATATCTGAACTGGAAGCTTAGGATTCTGATAAAGGTGAAGAAAATACGAAAGCCAGTGACTTTAAATCTTGTATATTATTAGACATGACCTTGGTTAATAACAGTGTGGGATAAGTGATGCCTAAAACTCAGATTTGCTTCCTGTCAGTTCTTTAGATGCCTCACTGAAAATCAATGCAGAAAGAATGTAAAGCCTCTTCAACAGATTTCATTGGTACTGAACTGAGTCACTGAAAGGAGGAAAATATATTTTCGGTATGTGTCATATGACATATGCCTATTAAGGAGTAATTCATAGGAAAGTGACATTGATAAAATATTTTCCATCAGTCTGAAATAATTTTTTCTTCATTTTGAACAAAAACTCTTATAGTAAAGAGACTTTAAGGAACTTGATCAGTTCACACTATTGGAAAGAAGATTAAGAGGAGACTTGATTACAGCATTGAGTACCTTCAAAGACAGAAAATGCTAGATATTAAAGGGCTCTTTGATGTACCAGATAAAAGAACTAACGTAGGAAACTTAAGTCATACAAAGTCAAACAAAGTATAAAATTAAAATCTTAACTGTGGCTTTATTGCAACATATTACTAAAGAAACTGAAAATTTTATACATCTTGATGCTTCATATTATTACTATACTTTCTTGAAGGTATTCTTCAGTCTAGATCTGCCTGCATATAATGAGATAGAACGCTTTTTCATTATAGAAAACAAGTTTTTTAAAAGGAAAGATTTTGCAAATGTGTCACCTTTGATTAAATTCCCAATGAAACAAGTAAGTTTTGAAGTTTGTGTGCTAACTATATTTCCTGACATTTTATTTATTTGATTCCTTAACAACTGAATTCACCTATAGCTCTGGTGCAACCCAAAACTGTGCTGTCCTGGGACCATGGCAGGTAAACCTGCAGGGCTGGAATGACTCCAGGGACATCACTAGTCCCAGGAGCCGTAGAAACTCTGGAGCAATATCTGCAGGCAAAATGCCCTAAGGCCAGATTTCACCTAGACTTCTAGTTTCCTGGAGATGCACAGACCCTTGGGTATCTCAGCTCCTGAAGTCTGGAAATGTTTTCTGGTCTGGTAGCATT